TATTTATTTATTGTTTTTTGAGACAGGGTCTCACTCTGTAGTTGAGACTGACCCGGAACTCACTATGTCGCCCAGGCTGGTCTTGAACTCACAGCGATCCTCCTGCCTCAGCCTCCCTCCTGCCTCAGCCTCTCGAGTGCTGGGATTACAGGAGTGTGCCACCACGCCCGATGTATTTATTTATTTTTAGGCAGGGTCTCATTAAATCACTAAACTGCCCAAGCAAAGCTTAGACTCGCTTACAATCCTCCTGCCTCAGCCTCCCAGAACGCTGGGATTACAGGTGTGTGCCCCATACTTGGCTTTGGTTCCATCGATGATGCCTATGCCAGGCACTGTGCAGAGTCCTGAAGACCCTAAATCCTACAAAAGCCAGTTCCCAAAGGTTCGCAAGGCCGCCTCGCTTCCTGCCCATCCCCGCAACCCAACTCCTGCGGGTGGGCGGGTCCAGCCTGGGGGGGGCGTTCTGATGCGCACCACTTGGAAACCGTGATTCTTGGGTTTTGAAAGACAGCCGGCTGGGGCAGGTGGGCTCATTAACCCAGGGAGACGAAAGGATCCTTGTGTTGGGCAGGACAGAGTTGGGCTCTCTGCAACTGTCATTCCGATGAGGGCTGAACCGTGGGCCAACCAGCCAGGCCCTGATGTCCTTAAGGCTCAAGTCGGTTTCCATTTTTCCAGTTTCAAAGGTCAGTTTTATGTAGGTTTTATTTTTCCAAAAGGGACTCCCTGTGACTTATTGCATAACCGCTTCTTTCACTGATAGGAAAATGGTAGCTTTTAGCATTTACCCAGCCACCTATCTATTTAGGTGGCTATGCCTTTGCCTATGTAATTTCTTCTGTTTCCGCTTTTGTATTAGGATATTATTGAGCTGTCTCCAGAAAGATCTCGTTTTCAGAATGCCCGAAATAGCATCGTGACTTTTCCAGGGTTAGCCATGCCTGAAAGGATGCACAATGTCTCCCGCAGCCCCACTGGGGCCCCAGCTTCGGAGGGGCCCTGTGCCGTGAGCAGAGGGTGCAGCCAGCCTTGGGGGCGCCCTCTGGGTGACACCCCTGTCCTGGCCACTGCACCCGGGCATGGAGTGTTGGGGCCACTCGGCAGGCAGACACTTGGGACGGTTCCGCCCAGTCGCCAGGCCTCCCAAGGCCTCCCAGGAGCCCTGAGAGCCGAGGGAGGCAGGGTCTGACCGCAGCCTTGGCCTCTGGGATCCCCGAGACTCTTGGGGTGTGCACCCCGACACGGAGGCCAGTGGGCCAAATGCAGCGTCTTCTCAGGAGAAGTGGACCAGGGTAGGCAGGGCTCGGCCAGCATCCCCACCTCCTCAGAGGCCCCAGGCCTATCCCAGCTTCGGGGCTCCCCACATGGTGCTGGGGACAGGGGTCTATCTTCTGAGAGATGTTTCCTGTTCTGAGGGCTTTTTTTTTCAGTCTTCTTCTGTGAGGTCTCTGGAATCCCGATTTCAAATTCCCTGCATCTCACTGTCCCCTCTCTCCACCCCCATGAACTTTCTGGCTGCTCTTGCTGCTATCTGGAACATCACTCCTGCCCTTCTCAGACTCCTGTGTTTTATGCAATCTCGAGCAAAGTAAAAGAGGTACCAGGGGGAAGGGGGAGGGGAGGTGACGA